TAGCAAAATAATAATCATCATTTTTTTAAAAATAGCATGTGTAACGTACACGTACTGGAAAATTATTTACTAGGACTCACCTATCATGCGACTGGAGAGCACAAACTCCGCTCTTGTCGTTTTCCATCAAATACATTAAAACAGCAACCTACAGTATGTTAGCGCACTCATCCCCGACTGGCCAAGGGAGGGGCGGGGTTACACGTTGAAACAGACAGAGACGCAAGGCAGCCCAGGTGGGGAAATTTTGCTTTTACATTTTGCGACTCATTTCATTTCTCTATCTGATAAGAAAACTATTCAATCAGATAGTTGTTTGTGGTGAATAAAATACAGTTACACTTTCAAGTACTTTTAAGCGCCACATCTGAAATTCAAGCACTTTTCAAACCTTGAAAAGACAACATTAGAATTCAAGGATTTCAAGCACCCATACGAACCCCATACGCGGTAACTTGCTAACGGAGATTTGCCGCATTAATGTCATTTTAACAAGATTAACCCTGACAGCACTAATTTACACACATACACACTGCAATGGACGCAAGCAACTTAGGGTTCAGTATCTTGCCTAAGGATACTTTGACATGTAAACTGGTGCCAAATAACAATACCTAACCTAATACTCATATGATGCCATTCTTTCTCTCTGTTACAAGTCCTGCTAATCAAACAGAGCTGGTTAGTCTTCTTTTGTGGAAGGTGAATAAAAGGTCAAGACAACTTCTCTGATAAGTGCTGAATGAAACAAGTCTTTTCTTACTTAAATATTCAGTCAACCAGAACAGCATCTTTACACACCACTGAGTCCCTTTTGTCTTTTGTCAGCGGCTTTTTTTTGTTTCCTGATTAAAACAACACAATAACTAAATAAAAACTAATGCACAAGGACAAAAACTATGTTGAAATGTATTGACACAAAAACAAAATAGTAGTAGTACAACTACTCAACTGCTACAACTGCTCAATGTTTCTCATGAAAATGCAACAAAATGGCAACACTTAGGAGAAGTGTAGACATATGGACACATGTTGCATTCAATGTCAAGGAAAACAAGACATTTTGTAAACCATGTGGTGCAACTCACCAGTAAAAACACAAACTTTTAAAACTTTATTATTTAGCCAAATGAATAAATTTTAGATTTAGTCTATTATAATCTTATGATATTTAACCAACTAAAACTAGACTCAAACTAAAAGAATGACAAAAACAAAATAAATTTTTAGTCAAGTCTGTGACTAAAACTAAATCAACACTTGCTGTCAAAATGAGCACCTTACCGCCCATTCGTGTTGCCAGTAAGTCTGAGTGAAGCTCAAATCAATGAAGTGGCTGATTGACAGAAGGTAAGATAGACTGGGTGTTGTGTGTGTTACATTATAAATGTTCTGTCACACCTTTGCTTACATTCCTTTACTGATAATAACCATAATTTACATTCCTTCTTGTTTTTGTCCAGTGATATGTTCTGTATCCACATCACAATTATTTAAAGCCAGAAACTCACATTGATCACACATGCATCCTTAGCCCTGCCATCTCCTGCAACAAGGCAGCCAATGGGGAAACCTGGATTGCAGTACTTCTGACCATCTTCCACATCATAGCACCAAGTAACTGGCATGTTGTCAATGATCCTGTAAAAAAAAAAAAAAGAAAGAAAGAAAAAAGAAGAAAAAATGGGGTTAACTTCAACCTTGATGCATACAGTTTATTAACATTTTCATCCATTGTACAAACAAGTACTGCAAAACACAAAGCATAGAAAGCGTGGTACTACAGTGCGGTACTACTACTAACCAGTGGTGCTGATAGTTCAGCTGCATTCCCATTTTAATAAAGTCCAGTTTAGCTATATCATCCTTATTTCCTTGCTTGTAGGTTTTTGTGGAGCACACCTGCTTGCATTTAAAACCTTTATTAAATTTAAACTGGGGAGAAAAAAAAGAAGATCAGAGTCATGTTACATCAACAGGATATAGTAAACAAACAAGAGTTAATTCACACTGTTCCTGATAACACCCACCTTGTATGGTGAAGACTCAATTCGTTCACCAAACAGTACCTGTCCAAGGTTCTCAGAAGGCCTTAATTCTTCGACATCTTTGCAAAAGTCAAACCTTTAACGAAGTTTCAGATTGTCACACACATAGAAAGGATCACAATGAGACAAAAAAGGCCAGTCAAATGCAATTAAGAGAAGAAAAAAAAAACATTAAATGCTACTTACACGTCATACTCATAAGGCAGAACTGATTCCACTGAGTCTAGGCGATTGACAAACAGCTGAATATCTGTCTGTTTAAAAAAAAGAAAGAAACACTTGTGGATTGGTAATTCTATAGCACCTTTCTACTGAATTTGAGCACTCAAAGCGCTTTCTATAACAAGTCTCATTTATCCAATCATACACATGCACCATACGCACTTAATCTATGCCTATGCCACACACACCAACTGATGCGTCGAGGAGAACTCAGAGTCCAGTTTCTAGACCAAGGATACTCTGATATGCAGAGTAGAGGAGCTGGGGAATCCATAGCCACCCTTCTTTAATTCCTTTTCTTTATTTAAATTTAACAAAGCTGCCTTACAAGCCAATTTGTGAGCAAAAAACAACCAAAGTCCTTGTTATGAGTGCTGAATAGTTAGGCAGTTAATACATGCATGGTTTTTAATAAATATGTACCAATTTGTGGTACATGACAAAGCATTTGTGGGAGAAAAAAAAACTGTCTTAATGTAATGTGTTGGACCAATACTGGGTGTCAGAACAGGTTAAAAGCCACTTATTATTGATTGTAAAAGAATCTGGACTCTACTGGAGGACGTCAATCTTCTATAAAGTTTTTCCATTCAGTAATACCCGAAGCCTTGTAATCCCTATGGATATTGGCACTGTTATTCTAACAAAACTACAAGTTGAAGGCGTTCAAACCACATGTACGTACATGTATGTATTGATTTACACTCACCCTTCCTTAACACACTAGTTGCCCGAAATTGCGCTTGTAAAATGCCTGTAAATGCATAACAGAGCCACCAGCCCCCTCTGACTAAGCGGGTCAAACGTTCAGGTACTTCCTGTAATTCAGGTGTAAAAAGGCTTTTATTTCATCGCAACTGGACATCGTCAGGTTATCATTCAGTAATTGAACCAGCCCGATTGTGCTAAGTCTCATGCTAGACTGGTGAAAACAGTAATTCCAGTCAGAAAGAATTTTATTTAGTTGGCACTAGCAGTCAGCGCAAATAAAAAAAAACAATTAACAATGCGCCAGAATATTTGCCTACGCTCCTGTTCCAGGCAATAGCCGAGGCCTAGGAGAGGGCTGTCCAACTAGCATGAGTAGGTAAGATTAGGAGACTGATATAGAAAACGCTAAATACCAATTCATCATCACATTTACTACGTTACATAACAATTTGAGTCGTAGGAATCAACCATACCTGGCAGTCTTCACCAGCTTTGGATTCTTCATCACAAAAACTCACTGGGGCTAAACCCGGAAGATAGAACGCCGAGAATGAACGGATATATAGGGCTAACAAACAAACAAGCGCAAAACTAAAATGTATCCGCATCCTCATTTTATTGCGGACACGGTTCTTCGAAGATTTTGTTTGCTACTTGGGGTGTCTTCTTCGAAAGAAACGTAACGGCTGCTAGCAACGACGAGCTATATGCTAGGTCCCTGGCTTGCAGAAACAGCAACTGAGCTGAACGGTCTGGAACAACCAGCACGGCGCTGACGTCCACCTCTGTCAAGCTATGCGGAAGTCACAAGACGTATACCGGATGTTAAAATATTTTACCCTCAAAATAAATGTATATAATAATTAAGCTGTTACCTCTAAAGATTTAAAGAATTAATAACTGGTGTATATATGCCAGGGGTATGTTTTAGGTTACTTTATTTTGAATAAAAACAAATTAAAAGTACAATTCCATACGTTAATGCGCTTTTTATGCTTTTAATTTAACAGGAGAAAATCGGAAGTCAATGACACCGTGGAATTAAGACTGACGTTGCTTATTGATAACTCATAGCAGTCCTTGTTTTCAATCAAGCATTCGTAAAAGTTGGAAAATGACATACTTATAATCCATAATGTAAGCTAT